CATTTTGTAGATTTGTATTTATTTTTTTATTATCTTTAATTTTACATTTACAAAAGTTGTAATTTATATGTAGAAATTAATTAATATTTAAAAATTAAAAAATTAATATATAATATATAATATTTAAAAATGTAGAAATTTAACCAACCTTGAACCACAAAAGCCTGAAGCCTCCAAATAGTTGGATTACAAAGATGCTTAGGATTAGTGCTGCTCAATAACTCGATTAACCCGATTAATCCAACTCAATCCAACGTAAAATAACCTAACCTGAAGTAACTCGATGTCTAATCGAGTTGTAAAATTGTCAAACCGTAGGTATTGGGTTGATATTGGGTTATTATTATTTGAACTCAACACAACCCAATGAACCCGATATCCTTTTATTTCTTTGATTTAATATGATTGTTGAATTTCTATTAATATATACATTAGACAATTACATTATCATGTATGTTTTTCATATACACATATTTTCAATCTATTTGTATCTCTATATAACTCATTCAGTAACTGTGAACATATATATGTAAATTGAGAAAATTAACTGAATGTGATATACGTAAGAAATATAAATAAGTTGTATCAAATGGTTGATGATGAAAAATAAATTATGAGTAGAGAAATAGCATATTCAAGGTTAGAAGAATATTTTAATATAGCACCGTATCAACCCGACTAACCCGACCAACCTGTACAGGTTGGGTTGGGTTGGGTTGCACTTTGGTTTGGGTTGGATTGAGTTAAGATTTTTCCAAACCGTAAGCATTGGGTTGGGTTATTCAAATATCCTCAACCCGATCAACCTAACCCATGAACACCCCTACTTAGGATGTGGGGATTTGCATATTATAGGGATGGGGCAAGCAAAAAATAAGTCTCGATCCCAAATGGGTCTTTCTAAAATGAAATTTGTTCCGGTCGGTCCCAGCCAAAAATTCTATGAACAATCTGTGGTTCGGTTATCAGTTTCGACTCGATAGGTTAAGAAAAACGTTACATAAACGTGTTATACATATTTCTATATTTACGATTTTTTAAATTTAGTATTGAACTACACTTTAAATAAATAATACGTTTAAGTAAATAAAATTTTGAAAAACTTAAAATAATACTTGAAAAACTGTATTATAGTTTATAAAAAGGAAAGTTTAAAAAAATTCAACAAACTTTCTAATTTTGAATGATTAAATGCTTACAAAAATTGTGAATGAAAAAAATCATTGAACTTTCTCATTTTAAATTAAATATCTATTAAACTTTTAATTTTGAATGATTAATTAAGTTCTTGAATATTTTTTTGATAAATAAATCACATGACTTTTAAAAGCCGCTAGTTACCTAAATCTTTTTAACCAAAAAAACTATCTATAACTTGCTAGGAATATTCTAAAATAAAAACAAAAACTTAAATCAGTTTTACGGTGCACGGCCGTACACCTTTCAAACCTCTTGCACCAAACGGCATCACTCCCTCTCGCCACCTCATCGTTTTCCACTCTCCATACCACCATCGTTATTGTTGGCTTTTACCACCGATCTCCCTCTTTATGATTTGCTATTCTTTTCCTCTCGATTCTCCCTATTTTACAACAATTTAATAATGTGTGTACATATATATCAAAAAAAGAAAGAATCGTAATACAAAAGAAAATTTTATCAAAAAGAGGGAGATCGATGGTGGGGCCAACAACAGTGATGAGCAGCGATAGGGAGCAAATGACGATAGGGCAGCAACGGATGGCGAGAGGTTTAAATGATTTAATATTTGGAAAAGTTAAAATTGGTTTTACATTAAACTTTTCTAACGAGTTACATGGAGTTTTGGGGGTTAAAAAGATGTAGGTAATCAATTTCAAAAAAGTTGGATGGTTTGTTTATTCAAAAAAGTGTTTATGGAATTAATCATTCAAAATGAAGAGGTCCTCTGGGTTTTTTTTTATTAAAAAAATGTTCGGAGACTTAATCATTCAAAATAGAAAAGTTCATTAAGTTTTTCTAAACGTTTACCTTTATAAAAAGCTTTAAACTTTTTAAAAAAAAATGACGCATTAAGGCCCATAAAAAGATGGTCTAACTTGGTCATCTCTAGATGGGGAAATGATTTAATTGATGTTTGGTTTGACATAATGTTTTTAGAGATTAAAGGGGTGTTTGTTGACGCAAAATATCCAGAACCGGAAAGGGGAGGGTCACTGGTGGGCATTTGGTAAAGTCGAGCCGAATGAAATTTGGTGGAATTTGAATCTATCAAAGTAATTTGATTTTAAAGTAATTTGAATGAATTTAATGGAATTTGACCATACGTTTGGTTGGTATGAATTGGAATGGAATTTATCAAAAGAATTGAGATATCTATCTTTGTTTAGGGAGGGTGAGGTGGTCGCACTCCCACCGACCACCATGCCACTACTGTCGTCATCATAGCTATTACCCCATTCCCAACTAACCCACCTATCGCCCCCATCCTACCGACCACCATGCTACTATTGTTGTCGTCACAACTCCCACCCCAACACCCCTATACAACCCCCAATCCCCGCCCCAACACCCTCAGCCACACCCCAACCGTCCCGGTCCCCCCCCCCACGCACCACCACTTTGCCCCCACTCCTATTCATGCATGCCACTCAGCACGCCCCCTTTGTACCCATGTGATGGTAGGAGGCCATAGGTGTAACAACGATAATAGTGGCATGGTGATCGTTGGTTGGTTGGGTGGGTGGGGGTAGGGTGGTAATTGTGACGACGACAATAGTGGTATGGTGGTTGGTGGGGTGGGGTAGTAGTTATGATGAGGACAATATGGGTATGATTGTCGATGGGGTGAGCCGGGGTGGGTGGTATATGTGACGATGACAGCGGTGGGATGGTGGTCGGCTATGGGGGTGGGTGGGGGCGTGAGAGTAACAGTAGTAGCATGATCGTGGTGAAGGGTGGCAGGCGGTAGGGTAGGGTAGGGTAGGGTGGGGTGGGTAGGTGTGACTACAACAGTAGCAACAGGGCAGGAGTTCTGAAGGTGACAGTAGTAGGAAGGTTAGGGGTTATCATGTAATAATAGTAGCATGGTTATGGTGGGGGTGTAGGGTGAGTGACCAAGGTGGGTGGGTGGGTGGATGTGACGACAACAATAATGGCATGGTGGTTAGTGGTGGGTTGGGGGTTGGGGTGGGTGGCAGTTGTGACGGCGACGCTAAAGGTGTTGTAGTGGAGGTAGGAGAGGGGGTGTGACACTTGACAATAGTAGCATAGTTGTGGTAGGGTGGGCGGTGTTGATTAAACTTGATCTAAATGGATTGAATTCATCCTTCACTTATGTCAATAAATGATTTATTCCTATATTTTCATTTTGGTTTAAAGAAAATTTTGGAATTGAAATCCTATGGAGCATAGGATTAAGAAGTTCCATATGGTGGTTAGTATTCTAGTACGAAATGTTTGTAAGAATGTTTTAAAAAATTTGTTTTACAATAATCAATTGTTTTCAAAATAATTTGTAATTTATTTTCTTTATAAATTATTTATAGATAATGAAATTCAAATCCATTTATAATCTTCCGAACTAAACATACCATATATCTTAAAAAAAAAATTCACCAAATCTAAGGGAGCGTTTGTTCATCGATTTCAAATAAATCCAAAAGAATTGAAATGAAAGATTCATTTGACCAAATTCCAAATCTTATGTTTGTTTACCAAATAAAGGAGGTGTTTGGGATTGCTTATAAAAATAACTTATTGACTTATTCTGATGTGACACCGGTAATAAGCATTTTTGAGTGTTCGGATAAACAACTTATACTGATGTCAAACGATAATAATAAGCTTTTGAAGAAGTTAAACAATTCTAACTTATAATAAGTTGATGAGGACTATCGTAAAAAATGATAAATTGTTTCAAATAAGCAATCCCAAACACCCAAAATAGAAAATCTGGTCTTGTTGTCAATGATTAAAAAAAATTCATGAACATATTAAAACTCCACTCTCATGATAGCATCTATTTAGTTTAACGCACATACAGGTTTGTAAAGTCAATTAACACATGTATGCAAGTAAGAATGGGAACAAGATTTCAACCACAATTTCACCTCCAACATCAAAACAAAGGACTCATGGAGTATGCATCACAAAAATGTTTAACACAGCCAAACAGAAGCAAACCCGAAGAGTATGATGACAGATACAGATCCAGAAAATAAACCGAAACATGTGCACAGTACTCATTTAAGCAGTGTCTTCACAATCGACTTGACATTCAGCTTCTTCAAGTCCGTGTAAGACTGACCACACCCCACAAACATCACAGGTGATCCCGATATGTAAACCATAGAAAGTGCAGCTCCAACCTAAATATCACCGTTCTACAAATTAACCAACTTTTCACAACATCAAAATAACCATATCTTGAAGATGCTTTACCTTATCATCTATGGTGTCAAACTTGGTTAGTAAGATCCCATCAATCAACCTGGGGCTCGCTGAGGGTGACAGGTCTGCTAATTTCTGTGAATCAAATGGTTAAATTAAGCCAAATCATGTATAGGATATATATATATATATATATATATATGTGATGATGTATGTAGTATGTCTTAAGAAGAAATGCAGCCTCCAAACCTGATTGAACTTTGATAGTTGATCCACTGCATCGTTCCCAACCAGTGCCTCCCCGACAAAAAGTACAAGGTCTGGACTGTTGACGTATATAAGCTTGGAGAGTGCACGCATCAAAGGTTCATTGTCCTGTGAGTGCAAAAACAAACCCATAAACATGCTGCTGGTTTCAAGAAAGATTTCTCCATATGTAGTTTTGAAACGAATTACAAGTCGAGCCAATGCTCAAGTTAGAACATAAATAATACCTGCATTCGACCAGCTGTATCAACAAGAACAACGTCTGATCCATTTCGGGCAGCCTCCTGAATTGCTTCCTTAGCAACAATTGCAGGATCTTTCTCGTAACCCTTTTCAAATATAGGGATCTGAAACCACAACATATTTTAGCATCACAATTTAGAGGTATCACTACAGCAAAATCAGTTTTATAGGATGTTTTTTATATCTTAAGTGTCCTAATAGACTGTTTGATTGGACTGAAGATATAGGATCAAACAATTGTGTCTTTTTTTAGTGTGTTACAATAAGTTGAAAGAACGTTTTCGGGCGTCCTATAAGTATTTTAGAACAATTTTGAAACAGAGCATCCTATTAATCATTTTACATGACATTAACACTTGTTAGGATGCCAAATACTTCCTAACACCCAATTATAACTAGATTATAATGATGCACAATTGTTTGTTCCTATAAACTCTCAAGTCCTGTACACATGCCTATTGAGACATTTTGACATCTTTGGCATGCCACAAAAACTGTTATGTTGTAGTGTATGCGTACATCAGGATACAGAGGTCAATCATCATACCTGGAGCCTCCGAGCATGAGTACGCAGCTGCTCCACTGCTCCTGAACGGAATGTATCACATGCAGCCATCATGACATTAATATCATGCTGCTGAAGCCAGTAAGCCACCTACAAAATTGCATTCAGGATTATTTCATAACCAATCTTTATGAACATATAATTTTATGCCAAAAGTAGTTGGTTGACCTTTACCTTGGCAAGATTAGTAGACTTTCCAACTCCATTAACTCCCACAAAAACCACAACATATGGTTTGTGCTGTTCTTTGGCAACATGAACATCCCTCAAAATGTCAATAGAGCGCCTCGGAGTCAAAATACGAACAAGAGCTTCTTCCATTGCAGCCTGCGTGATTAGTTCAATCAAGTACAAATTACTTTACACCAGGCAGCCATGGAATAGTCAAAATGACCAAATAATGACACTCCCTCTGTCCCAAAACAAGCGTCGACATTTCTATTTTAGCTTGTGCAAAATAAGTGTCCACTTAAGTAAGCGCCTACTTTCTACTTTAAGATGGAGAAATTCATTACTCCCTCTATTACTAAGTGCAAAATTGTCCGTTAGTCAATTAAAAGGTGTAATAATCACATTTCTAAAATTGTCTATCCTTGTCATTGTGGACATTTATTTTGGGATGGGGAAGTAATAATAATATTCTCCAGAGAGATTGATCAAGTCAGCTCACCTGCACCGTCGATGATATCCTAGTAAAGGAACCGAGCTTTTTGCCCTCAAGGCTAACTGCTACAGACTCGCAAAGTTTCTCTGCAATCTCTTCAGCCTGTGGCAAACAGCAAAACCATCTTCACACTCCATCCAAGAAACTGAAATAACTTGATATTGAGAACAAGAACACAACATACCACATTCTTAGTCATAAGCCTGTCTTTTAGAGCCTTCAAAGCTGGTTCAAGATCTGCCTTCTCCAAATTTGCCTTCCCAGCAATACTAAATGAAAAAGATTGTAAAACAATTAGTTTATGACAATGGTGCCTGAATTTCATGGATGATTATAAATTCAACTGCATTAGAGGTCAAGAATCATCATATTGATCCATGATAATACGACTGAAGACCATCTAATATCTTCTTCTCCTTCCCTTTCTAAAGGATGTGGAGTGATTATAACCATTCTAACCCAGAAAAGATAGTTTCTGTGAACACTCATCTCAAAGAAACTACTAAAAACAAATCTGATGACCACTTCCAATCACTAAAAGTTTCCCAGGAAAAAAAGTCGAAGTTTACATCATCTGAAGAGTGAAATTTCTATCTTTCAGATGCTAAAAATTAACTTGACTGAAACTAAAAGATGGGAATGAATTTACCTTTGGAACATGGATGTAAACCATCCTTTCTTCTTTGAATCTACCTTCGTATCCATCTCTGTTTCATCATCCTCTTCAGATTCACTGTCACTGCTGAAAATCTCATCTTTGTCCATCATACTCTCCCCTTCAACAACTTGTGCAACAGCCATGTTACCATCGCCATTCTCACTCACAGGATCCGTGAAATCCAATTTGGCTTCTGGGGGTTTCTCATCCCAAACTCTATTCTTTTTTACCGGTTTTTTCTTAGGTTCCTCTTTGGAAACCTTGCTAACAGGATTGGCTTTCTTTGCACCTTTAGAGCGGAGCTTCTGTAGCTTATTTACATCAAAAGCACCGCCATTAGTATTGGCATTACCGTTTTCTTTGCCATTAACCCTACCCTTACTAGCTACCTCCCCATTGGAATTCCCATTATCTAATATACCAGTTTTTACATTATCACCATCTGCATCACCATCCTTACCTGATTCTCCGCCACCACCACCGCTCTTTTTTTTATTGCCGCCTTCAAACCCAGATTGTTGCATTTGGCCTTGCTTCTTCCCCAAACTGGTAACCGGCTTACACATCACCTGCTTTGATTTCTTGATAACCTCAGCCCGAGCCTCGGCCTCCTTTCTGAGCTGCCTAAATGTCTCATCAAAATCATCATACACCATCCGTTTAGGATCATAGATTTCAGAAAACTCGCGCTTCACCATAGCAAGAAGATCATCCACGTATAAAAGATGGAGAATCTTTTGATACACGGCAACAAACACGAGGCCAAGCTCATTGTGGAACGTCCATTTGAGAGTATATGATGCACCAGGAACATCATAGTTGTAGGAAGCAGCAGCAGATCGTTCCTCCAAAAGGCAGGACCGGATCAAGGTATCAATGGGTGATCCTCTAAGAGCATTTCCGAGCTCTTTACATGTCCAGAGGATCAATCCCCCTCGGGTAAATATCAGTAACTGCTCTAACATTTCTTACCCTACTTATATCCTGCATTCCACAACAAAATTATATAAAATCCCAAATAAATTAATCAAGCATAATAAACAAATTGTTTCCAATCTAATCAAAGTGCCAAGTAACCCTAACTTGGAAGTTGGAATAATCATATGAGAAGGAATGAATCTAAAAATCAAATTCACTGACAGGTTGAATTCGAAAATTAATTTGAACTTAAAAAACCATTCAAACCCTAAAAGTTCGTAAAGATAGATTTAAAACCCTAGAAATTTAATTTGAACACGATACCCAATTGCTCGCGATCAGAACAGAGAAACAAAATTCCGATTCCAGTTAACATATGAATCGAGCTCATAAACAACATCTTCAACACCCTAATTTTGCTCGAATTGATATGATATCAATTAGATCGATTCAAAATCCAAGAAACAAAGATCCAATAGAAATTTCGAATCTAAAACGTCAGATCGGTTCATAATATGTCTCGGAATGCAATCGGAAAGGCAAAAATCGAACATAACCAGAATTCAAACCTCTTACGAACTCCAAGATTCAGAATAAAGAAGAACAGATCATCAATTTTTGCACCCGATTCATAATTGTGAACTGAAGACCATAGAATGTAAAATTCCAAGACTTTTCAATCGAAACTAAAAAGATCTACACATGAATAGAAAGATCGTACCTTTAAACTGAGTATTTAACTGGGGAAATAAGTTACGAAACCGAAGAGAAGATCGAAAGGGGGAAACGGAAAAAAGAGAAAATAGAGACGAGAGATAAGCGTGTGTTTGGTATATATAGTGGGTCAGTCTCTTACGGTGAAAAGTTGACTCGAATTTCGTTCTTGTACGACTTCTTCCGGTCAATTTGAGCCTGCCCAACAAGAACACGCATATGGTAAAGTTTTGTGGTAAACCAAACCGATTCAAAAATAAGGTTAAGGGATTGTATACCAAATTTTTATTAAATCTTTTATTTGTTTCGATAAATTTGTCTATCTGGTTAAATGGGTGTTGTTTATTTTTTTTATCTGAACCAACAGTCTGAATAACATAAATGATTGATTTACCCCCAATATTAATTATTTGAACATCAAAACAAAAAATCATAAAGAGGCCGATGATGAGGTGTCTCATATGGGAAGGAGATGGTGTTTTAAATAAGGGGTAAGGGTGTTATTTTTGTGGCTGAATGGGGACAACAAACTATTTTTATCTGTGCGATTAAGCCATATTATGTGCGAATAAGCCGTAAGTAAACAACTCAAATGAGATGTGTGAATAAGTCAGATAAACCAATAAACTTAATTAAGTCGTAAGTAAACAGTCCATAAGTTTGGTTTGCGGGCATCAAATGGATTTGAAGGGATTTGGATTTTTTAAATCCATTTTAATTTATGTTTTTGGTTTGTACGATTTTTTGGATTTGAAATTCTATGATCTATTTTAAAACCTTCAAATATAGGATTGTGAATTTCTATGGGGTGGTTGGGATTTCGTAGGATTTTTATATAATGATGTTTTGGAATATGTTTAAAACACTTGTTTTCTAATAATTCATCTATTCTATATTATAAAACATTTGACAAAAACTGTTAAAAACCATTTTTTTTATGCATAAAGTACTGTATATTGATGCATATTACTTAAAATTTAAAATTACAAGTAAAATATGTACAAATACAACTTATTAAAGCTCAGTGTTTGAATTTGTATAACTAACTGCAGATAAACATAATCAAATAAAGGATAAATATCTCATCTTAAAATATAATTAGGATAATTATCGAGTTGTAACAAAATAATTAATTATTATCTTTATAAAAAATTATATTATTAAACAAAATATAAATTACTTCGTTATTGTACCTAAATTAAATTATAATAAAATAATTGAATTAAAAATTACACAAAAAAT